TGAATAAACAAAAAAAATACTTATATTTGATTATCATAACTTATAAAGTAATTATTCCAAGAAAAAACTTCTAAAGTGATAATTAGTGTTTTCTAAAGTATCGCAAAATTAAACATATTGGTTATGATACTAAAAAGTGAGTTTAATACCTGACAGTCTTCCCATAGATATGAAGAATTTATTGTAGCATTAACGATGTCTGAACGGCTGCCTCCAGGAATAACTGGTAAAGTTTGTCTAAAGTCTCCTCCAAAGACAATCACTCTTCCTCCAAATGGTGAATTAGAATCACCATCATTACTAATGATGTCACTTAGGCTTCTGTCTAATGCTTCAAAACAAAATTTATGAGCCATTGTTGCTTCATCCCATATTATCAATTTAGTCTGTTTCAATAGCTCTGCAAGTTCACTCCCTTGATGTATATTGCATGTAGAGTTCTCCAAAGTAGGAACTGGGATTGAAAACTTAGAGTGTGCAGTTCTGCCTCCAGGTAAGAGTAGAGAAGCTATACCACTGGATGCGACAGTTAAAACGATATGACGTTGAGAACGTAAGGCAGAAGCTAGTGTCCTCCACATAAATGTTTTTCCTGTACCACCATAACCATATAAAAAGTATACCCCGCCTTTTTGGTTAGTCACAGCTTCCATTATTGTGTCAAATATGGCTTTTTGTTCATCTGCAATATTAGCATCAAAATGTATGAATGAAATCATTTTTCTCTTGACACTCAAAACCATTTAATATGACTTATAAATCATATTATTTGTAGTTGTCTTACCGGTAAGAGAAGCATACAAACTTTGAAACTCCTCACGCAACTTGGATGTATCATACTCACGTTCTGCATATATAAGCCTATTTCCTAGTTGTTTCGTGATATATCCATTTGGATATGGTATTGAGGGAAAGTCTTTTAGACTTTTTCTCTTTTTTTGCATCAATTTCTCAAGCTCCACAAGAGTTAAATTTTGCAACTCTTGATCACTAAGCTGTAAATCTATAAATGTAATAAACACAATTATATCAGTAATTATAAGAAGATGTTCATGTGTATGTGTCCACTGCCATTATGTCTTTATCGTAAATAATTTATTTTGTCACAACAATGCAAATGAATGACCAATGAGATACGCATGAAATTGAAATTATGAAATAGTTTTATTTGAATATGTTAATTTATGAAATAAAAAATTTCAATATATTGATATAAAAATATATTTTATTTTTATATGTTAATTGATATGTCAACTAATTTTAATACTGAATGTAAGAAAAGTTGTTTGGGGTAATCAGGAAATACTGTTTGTTTATGGTAATAAGAAGTAATTAATTTCATCTTTTACTACAATGCAAATGAATGACAAATGAGATATGCACAAAATTAAAATTATGATATAGTTTCATTTGATTATGTTGATTTATGAAATAAAAAATATCAATGTATTAATTTAAAAATATATTTTATTTTTATATGTTACTTGATACGTGATGTAATTTTAATACTTAAGGTAAGAAAAGTTGTTTGGGGTAAATAGAAAATAATGTTTATTTATAGTATTAGTAAATATTTAATTTCATCATTTAGTAATATTTTAAATTATATAATTAGTGAAAATCTAAAAAGGGTAAGAAAGATCTGGTAAACTAATCATATGTACTCTATGTGAATTCTAATATAAGGTGAATTGAATTTAGGGTAATACTTTTTGTGACAAATCTTATAATTTTGTTGGTAGGGTAAACGCCATGAATAACTTGTCATGATACAAATGATAGGTGTAAATCTAATTTTTAATTGATTTGTATACCTGGGATGTTTGAGAGCCTTCGCTGTTGATACAAAATTCCATCTGCCAACCACTGCCAAGTTTGTTCCCATACATGCTCGGGTCTGCTCACAGGGCATGATAATAGCAGAGTTACAAATAATTTTCTCAAGTAGTGTCCTGATGCCCAGTCTTTAACTTCTTTTAATGCTCCAATGTATTCTTTATCATCACCAAGCAATCCCGCCGCAAAACACGCTTCTCTAAAGCTCGGATATTGAATGTTGGCAACGGTCCTAATATCCTCATAACAACGTGGCCCTTTTGTTACAGTGAGCATCATTCTTAAATAGAATAGTTCACCTGTTGTTGGAGGTACCCAGATGAGTCTACCAATAGTGTAACCCTTTGTTCTTGGCTTCCAACACCTCTTGCTAGCTACATACACAAATCGTGAAACGAACTTTGCATATGTCAAATCTTTTCCTTCCGGATAGATTTTGTTTGCTTGCATCCAAGATGTAAACATTGATTCTTTAACAGTTTTTCTTGTGAGCACAGACTCAAGGTCATCATTGTCACTAAAGAACACAGATTGCTCATTGGGAAGGTGAAAGATAAGTCTTTCAACGGCTGGAGATCTACCATGAATCGGAAAAGAAAAAATCCTCCAACAGGCCTCACATGGTGAGACATACCTGCAATCAAGATATTGCTTGATCTCATCAATATTCTCATTTTGGGGTGACGCATCATTGTGTGTTGGAACAATAACTGCTGTTATCCGGTCATATCCTTTGTTGATATACTTGAATAAGTATTTTATTGAAGTGCTTTGATTACACCATTCCATGTTGATATGCGCTTGGTACTTTAACAACAATTTTGGATTATAAGGCACAACATGACGATTGTCTAAGATACAATCATTTTTTTCGATTTTCTTTCCATCGGCTCTTCTCCTATAAATAGGATAACCATCTTCATCAAGCGTCGTTGATGCCTGAAAAAATTGTAAATATTATATATTTCTAATTAAAAGTGACGACAATTATCTTAACTTAATATCTCTTTGCACGACTAATGTCATGTACGACTTTGGTGGAGTAAGTTTAATAGATAATAATGGAAAAAGGTGGTGTTGTTTCTTTATTTTGTATAAATTGCACTTGTTGTTAAAATTCAAAATCGGTGTTAATTTGTAGTATTACTCTAAAGTGTGACCATGTATAAGTTTTGATTTACTTTCGATGAGGCTAGACCTCCGTACTTAAAATGATTATTATAGCCCCTATATGACTATTTCTTCGTAATATTTTAGTTTAATTTTTTTATCATTCATTAGCAAATGTATGAGACTATTAGGATTTAGGACGATAGAATTTAATTAACATGTTTCTTACGATCTAAATGATAATATTCTAAATAATTGAGTACATAAAAAATATTAAAATTTATTGTTAGTAACTCTAGTAAAATAGTGGCTATGTATATTTATAGATTTAGTTTAATTATTACAATTAGGATGTTTGTATTATATGTATTTCTATATCAGACTTAAGTGATTTAGACCTGATCAGATTAGACTTAAACATATCATAATAAACCAAATAAAGCAAGCCACTCCTGCCAAGACTTCGATAGCAAATAAAATCATGTAACACCATATACTTCATTTGTCCAGATTAAATCAGAAGAAACCTAAATAAACAAAATCAAATCACACTTAAACTGAGCAAACCAATCTAAACCCAACTTGCCTGGAATTGCTTATGATAATACTTGTTGCACTTCCCATCCTGCATGCACGGTGATGAAGGGTTCGCTAAACCGCATGGACCATGAATCATGTGAGATTTGACCAGGTTGTACAATTCTTTCTCGGTCTCTTCATCAGGTATCTCTGCTGAAATAATCTTATCAATATCATTGGCAGTTGGGTACTTGTTCGAAGGATGCAAAAAAATGAGTATGTGCCCATGGGGCAATCCTCTTTTTTGGAACTCAATTGTGTGCATATCTGAAAGAAATTTGTAGAAAAAATAGAATAAATGAATTGCACCAGTAAATGTGTAGTGTAAATAAGAAATATGTAATATATTCATATATAAAACTTACATGCAAGAACTTTTCCGAAGATATGCCTTTTCCTTAAATCTGTTAATAACTCTTCAAACTTTATCCTGAAGACCCTTGCAACAATATCAGGACGGTCATGCGGCTTCAAGTTTAATGGTGCAAGTACTCTCTGAATCTCAGGCCAGTTGGGATTGCAAGTGAACGTGATAAAGAAATCAGGAAAGCCAACAAAAGCGCAAATTGCCATACCATCAAAGTAGAGTTGATCCATGTAGCGACGACTTCCTACAAATGTCGATGGTAGTACAATTCTTTTCCCCTTTTCAGATCCTGGACATTGTAAGTTGTGATTTGTTTGACTGAGGTTACTGTATTTATCAACTCTTAGTTTTTTTTGGTTTCTCCTGATAAAAGATAACCTCTCTGACTCAAGCATAGTATAGCCATCAACTACGAACTGCTGAAATAATCTTCTTGATCTCAACAATGTTAGCGCCTCATTTTTCCTTGTTTGCTTCAATTATATAGGGTGGATGCAGATTGTGCAACAAATGACAATATGGATGTGGAAGCTGGAGGGTTGAATGATGGAGCATAGATTTATGGGTTTTCAGTGTTGGCTAAACTATTATTCAATCATTGAAGACTTGTTCTATTTTCCTACTTTTTTTTTTCTTGTTTGATTGCTTGTCAGTTTATTTAAACTTCCTGATTTGATAACAAGAATTAGAACTTTTTGAATCTTGTCAAGTGTTTACTGTTTAAGTGTATTTATTTTGATTGTGATAAACGGGTAGTAATTTAGTATATGTGTATTGTTATTTGTTAGCATGAAAACAGGTTGAAACATGTTGCCTTGCTTGACAGAAAAAAGCTCACAAAAACATGGTAAGCTTGTCAAAATTGTTTTAAAATTAGTTTAAAAAATTAGTGCAGAACAAACCGACCAAACCGACCGACCGAACCGAGTTCTTCGGTTCTACGAACCGACCGACCGAATCCCATTCGGTTATCGGTTTGCCATTTGTGAAAACCGACAAATTTTCAAACCGACCGACAATGACCGAAACCGACCAAACCGACCCGACGAATACCCCTAGTCCTTACAGAGTTTTTTGTTGTATATATACACATATGACATATGTTTCCTCAGTCAGAATCAATATTTACAGTCCAGTTCCCCGTTTCGATACAAACGAGGCCCAGAGTCTGCCTTCCGCCAAACACAGCGGCGATTTGCCCGAAGTTCTCGTTTCTGCCGCCGCACATTTATACTCTCATCTATCGTTTTTTTCGGCAACTCAGTTTCTATATCTAACCTCCCAACTCTTTCTTCAAGTCACACAGAAGAATGTCTCAGGTGGTGGCGACTAGATCGATTCAGAACTCTCTCCCGAGCCATGGTCGCGGAGCACTGCGCGGGAGAGTGGAGAAGCTCAATCCTGCTTGCTTAAGCTCGAATATTTTGGCTTGGAGTGAACAGAGCAAAAGTTCTAAAGCTGTGCGGCTTAATTCACCGGTTGTTACTGCCAAAGTATCTTCACGCGCCGAGCCCCAAATCCTTCCCGTGTCTCCTGACGATGTTTCACAGGTTATATAATTGGATTTGGAGTTTCGCGTCATTCCTTTGTTTAGTTTTACTTGATATGGCTATCTTAACAGGATTAAAGGCTCAGAGGGAAACACATTTAGAAGAAATGCAGTGTTTTGAAAAGCATGTTCGCTTTCTGAGTTTGATTATATTTCTCAAATTCGATTCTTGATTCATCCATGGCTTAGTAAGGGGTAGATTATCCTCGAAAGTTGGGATTGAATATGACCTTAGGCTCTATGCTAATTAAAAAAGATTATATCTGGATGTTTTGTTTGTATAGGTTCTCTATAGATTTGTCTGAAATGAGACCTCTAAGCAATTATTGTACTTTAATAATATGTTTAGAAGAAATGAGTATGCTGTTAATTGATAAGTTGTAGTCTTTTGGCTGTTTTCTAGTAAATACTCAAGTTAATCCTTTTAAAAAGAAACCTTTATTATGTTTTTATATAGTTCAGTCATATATGGATAATCAGTGAACATGCTCTGCCGCTTGCGATCTTCCAGGGTTACATAATTTATTATTTATGTATATAACATTTTGCATCACATCTCTTAGGTTTGATGTATACGAATGTACCATCATTTTTATTGACGTGCTAAATGAAAGGGCACCCTCTTCATTGAGGGATGATTTTGTTTAAATATCACAGCTTTATCATCATGAAAATGCTACATAGTTGTAGTTCATCCTTGCCATAGTTGACAAATTGTCTTACCAATCATTGGTGCTCTTCAATCAGGGTGAAGACCAAATTCAGTATTCAACGGCAATTCAGCAACATGGTGACACCTCTGTTGGTATGTGGTCTAAACCTATAGTGAGACGCAAAACAAAGATAGTTTGCACAATTGGTCCTTCTACCGACACTAAGGAAATGATCTGGAAGCTGGCTGAAGCTGGAATGAATGTTGCACGCCTCAACATGTCTCATGGAGATCACACTTCTCATCAGAAAGTGATTGATTTGGTTAAGGAATATAATGCCCAAGCAAAAGACAATGTTATTGCCATCATGCTTGATACCAAGGTAAGTTTGGTTTATTTTTAAATTTTAGTCACCTGATAGAGGATGGGTGACAAATGTATCTTAAATATTGCATCGTTTGGGAGCTTAAAAAGGGATTATTGACTTAAAGTTACACAATATTTAGGAAAGAGTTAATTCATATGGTTTGTTTTGGAATGATTGCATTGATTTGAATATTTAGTTTGTGTTCATTTCAACATGGTTTGTTAATAGATTCCCGTGAACTACAATACGAAAACCAATAGGTAATTAACTACAATAAGAAAACCATTAGTTTGTTTAAGTATGTCCACCTTTGAAAAATGTATTAATTTATTTCATCCCGAAGAGCTCCTCCGTAGAATATCAACACACTCCTGTGGTGAAGAAGTGTATAGGTTTGTTGCTTTGTTCTAGAATACATGGAACATTTTATTTTACAGCAAAGCATATCCATGGCAATCAATTTCCACAGAAGGCATTTTCTGCAACAACGGGTCTTTAACTAGTAAACATAGCCTTAAATTGGGGAACTATGAAGCAGTTCTTTGGTAGAATTGAAGAGCCATTAAATGCTTAAATAATGAAATTGCAGAAAACTGTAACATAACAATGATCACCCAGCAACAATGAATTTCTTTCTCCTGCAAGTGTTCAAATTCTATGGAAAAATAATTAATGCCCCATCTCCCGTATTCCAATTCCAATTAATAATACTAAACATTATCTAAAACATAGAAAAAGTAGAACGAGTAATTGATGGCACTGCACATTTAAACTAGCTTTCCCTGTGCCTTTCAATTCCTTTCCTTTCTAGTTGCATGTTGCCAAAGATGGAATCAGCCACCCGGAGTTCCCCTCCACTGTCCGCCCCCTGGCACGTGGAGTAGAGGAAAACCATCGTACAGAGTGGCCCCTTGGGCAGGGAAAACTTATTCCTTAGGAGAATCAATGATATTGGGGATGATCTATGTGACCATGTCTATGGGGGGTGGTTGAGCTGGGGGAGTCCTCAAATACTGCGATGCCATATTCAACAATCTGAAGGTCAAGAAAATTAGTTGTGAACATCTCATTGAGTTTGGTTATTCCTGCATCCAGTCTGGTGAGTTAAGTTTCTAGTCCATTGTCGTGACTCATGAGCCTCATATCTACCTCCCCCAACTTTTATTCATTTCTTCCTTTTTCGATTCCATGTGTGTTTGTGTCATGGTCAGATGGGAAGCTCAGACCAAATTGATAGAGGAAAGACTTGGTGAAAATTTAAGAAAAGGATTATTGAAAATGCAGAACACACACGGTTTACGATGGACGTCCTTGGGAATTCACCATCAAAACCTCCTTTCTTCATCTGAGGCAAAACAAGTGACACCCTTCTCACATACTCAAGTTCCAATTTAGAATACTAAAATGGATTCTAAAAAGGAAAGAGTAACTATAGTTGATCGATGTCATAGAAAATATAGAGCAAGTAATCCCTAGTCTTGTGAATTTATCTTAGTTCCTTGTGCATCTCAATTCCTTTCATTTCTATATGCTATTCTAGGGCCATAGTGCTTGCTGCATTCTTTTTATGGCTATACATTTGCTTCTAAGTGAGCGAATTTTGTACATGTGAATCTTTTCCTCACAATTATTTTCGTTAAGCTGCACATATCAACTACCTATACAGCTATACCCTAATGGACTGCATATATTTTTTAATGCCTGTCTAGTAGTATCATAGCTTTCTCATTTTCTTTGTGAAGTCAAGTTTTCTTATGGCCTGCAATTTTCAAACTGACAGGGTCCTGAGGTTAGGAGTGGTGATTTACCCCAACCTGTAAATTTGAAAAGTGGACAGGAGTTCACCTTCACTATTAAAAGAGGGGTTGGCACAGCTGATTGCGTCAGTGTAAACTATGATGATTTTGTAAATGATGTTGCAGTTGGGGACATGATTCTTGTTGATGGTATGCTAGAGATACTTCTTCCTATAAGCTTATAATTTCATACGAAGTATTTTTCTATTCACTTCTAAAGTATGGATTTATTGGGTTTGTAATCACTCGATCAACCTATAATGCTATTCTGTTAGTTTAAGGTCTTAGAGAATATAATGAAAAGTTTTATTTGTAGGTTATTTTAGGGAGCTTCATGGTAGAGATTTCTTATAAAAAATGTTCCACTTTCTATATCAGGAATGCTTGGACTTTAGAAGGGCATAATATTTACCTGCTATGAATTGAAGAACCATGTACTTAACTATTCTGTTTTAAAGGTGGAATGATGTCTTTAGCGGTGAAGTCCAAGACGGAAGATTCAGTGAAGTGTGAAGTTATTGATGGTGGAGAGCTTAAATCTAGACGGCATCTTAATGTTCGCGGCAAAAGTGCCACCCTTCCATCTATTACTGGTGGAACCATTATCCTTTAAATCTCTAGTATACACCTACATACAAATTGATTATGTTTGCAGGAAATGATGTGCTCTTGTACTATGCAAACAAACATGATATTCCAAACAAACATGATGTGCTCTTGTACTTAAACTTGGTTATTTGTCATTTTAATTATAATGCAACAGAAAAGGACTGGGATGACATCAAATTTGGAGTGGACAATAAAGTTGACTTTTATGCTGTCTCTTTCGTCAAAAGTGCTGCAGTGGTCCATGAGTTGAAGAGTTATTTGAAAAGTAAATTCATTTGATTTATTTCCTTCATAAAAGAATGCAAGTCCCTAGTTGCATAATTGTCTGGTGGCTTAATTTTTTTATTCTTATGGTACATTCTTTCCTATCACAGGCTGTGGTGCTGACATTCATGTTATTGTCAAAATTGAGAGTGCAGATTCCATTCCAAATTTGCATTCAATAATAACTGCGTCTGATGGGGTAATTCCTTAACTTTTGTTAACAGGTGGCTCCATTCTATTTCGATTAGCTTAAGTAAGATGTTCAACTAAAGGTGCCCATTCAATACAAGTGAACAACATTTTAACTTCATTTCTTAAAATTCTCTTCAAACATGAATTATAAATAGGCTAGTTATGCATTTAATACATAAACTAATGATGATATGAGTCTGTTGGGTTGAATTCAATTGATTCTTCACAGCTTATTGCATATGTCCTAGTAAATTTTTATGTTTTCTGTATGGGGCTTTTTTATTGGACATAGGGAGCAGTCTTTAAGTTATGACTGGATTTCGTTTGGGATTAGAAATTTGTCTTTGTTATGTTTTTGGCTTGCTGCTCTGATTTGCACGGGTTATCAGGATATATGAATAATTTCTATCTCTGTTTTCATACTGTTTGTACAGTGACAGTTATGCTATGTTTTCATTGTTTATTGTTTGCAGGCAATGGTTGCAAGAGGTGACCTTGGTGCCGAGTTACCAATCGAAGAAGTTCCGATATTGCAGGTGAGCCCCTTTTAAAATAAGTTGAACTCGAGATATACAAATGAAGGCATTTGTTTATAAATGTTACTATCAATCATTGACTTACAGAAAAAAAGTATCGTAAATGCAGGAAAAAATAATCAGTATATGTCGAAGTATGGGAAAAGCTGTCATTGTTGCTACAAATATGCTGGAAAGCATGATTGTCCATCCAACCCCAACCCGAGCAGAGGTATCAGATATTGCAATTGCAGTCAGAGAGGGCGCAGATGCTGTTATGCTTTCGGGTGAAACAGCTCATGGAAAGTAAGTGTCCTCTTAATGACCTACCCTACTCGGCTTGTCAATGATTTTTCCCAGTGCTTAGCTACTCTTTCTTTCATATTGGCTTGGCGCTTATGTGAACATAAACCCTGCAAAGGTATGGATGAGGGATACCGATAAGGTGTTTGGTGTATTAAGGGAACTGGTACAGCAGAGGGTTTCCGATGTTAATACAGATTTTGCTTACTAGCGGATTTATCATTTTATGAAACAGGTTTCCCCTTAAAGCTGTCAAAGTTATGCACACTGTCTCCTTGAGGACTGAAGCAACTATAATGGGTGGTGAAACCCCGTCCAACCTAGGCCAAGCCTTTAAGGTTATTTGTTACCCGTACTGGAATGTTTTGTTTTTACTATGCCGGGATTTCTTACTTCATGCGTTATAAACTGATAATGGCTAAAACTTTTTAATTTTTTTACAGAATCATATGAGTGAAATGTTTGCTTTTCATGCGACGATGATGTCAAACACCCTTGGAACCTCTATCATTGTCTTCACAAGGACGGGTTTCATGGCTATTTTACTGAGCCACTTCCGACCTTCTGGCACTATATTTGCCTTCACAAATGAGTGAGCATCTCTTCCTTATACGCAACTAATAATTAGCATTGATGAATATCAAACTTGTTTTAGTAGCAACTGATATGCTTCCTCCATCCAATTAGTAGCAAGACTTAAGATACTTTCAATTCAATTTTTATAATATTTAACTTGATAAAAGTGTAAATAAACACACACACACACACATAGTTATTTCAAATCAAAAGTTCTATATAATACACAGTGACACAAATATATATTTTTCACCAAAAAAAGCTACAAAAACATGTCTGATCATTGAATAGTAATTGACTACTAAAATGGGGTAGAGGAGGCAAGTTCTACTGGCTCTACAGTACCGGTATTTATTTGTTTTGGAGCTTTATTGCAGGAAGAGGATACAACAGAGGTTGGCATTATACCAAGGTGTATGCCCTATATATATGGACTTCTCGGCCGATGCTGAAGAGACCTTCACGAATGCGTTATCACTGTTGAAGGTGAAATTATCCTCTCACCTTATATATATTCATTCGCGTATGATAGTTTTCTGAAGTGACCAGTTAACTGTAATTAAATTCTTCAAGCATTTTTCGTTTGCATCCTTTGTAAAGTTGTGAAATCACCTGTTTTGATGGGGGGGTGCTGAACCTATCTAGTGTAGAGTTTGGAGTCAGTCTTAAATGTTGGGGTTTTCATATGCTGATTCGCACACATTTGCATGGTTTGCCCAAACAGAATCAAGGGATGGTGAAAGAAGAGGAGCAGGTAGCGCTTGTTCAGAGTGGCAGGCAGCCGATCTGGCGTCTTCAATCTACTCACATCATTCAAGTTAGGAAAGTTTAGCCTGGAGCTTAGCGTTGTATGTTGCTTTATGAGTTTCCCCTTTTTATGTATCATTTTTTTAAATTATAAATATCAAGGATGACAGTATTTATGAATAATACCATTCAATTTTCATTAGCAAATATTGTTACTGTTATTACTTTATTTTTCTCACAGGTTGTTTAATAAAAGCACATCAAACTATTCAAGAAGTGTTTGTTATTGCTATTGAAAAGAAGTTAAAATCAGTGTTTTCGATTCAAACTTTTATTACTTAGTTTTAACCACTTTTAAATCATAAGTTTAAATACCAGCCGCTATAATTTTTCTTCACCATGATTACATGATAGCTAAGATGGTTTTACTTAGACTGTAATTCCTTCCAAATCGGATTAGACTAGTTCAGACCAGACTTGGATAGTTATGAAAATACAAAGAAATCAGATCAGATCAGTAAATTACAATCCAAGTAAAAACATCCTAAATAAGAATCCAAATATGCTCCAACCAGCTACGCTCCTGGCTCCAACTCCTAAGTTGAAGTTGAGGGCAGCGAAAAAGCCACAAAAATAGGCCTATTAAATATATTTTCTTTCCAAAATATGGTTTAGTCCTACTATAAAAAATAGAAGAATGTAAACTTTTTAAAATAGGCAGTCCTATTTAAGTAAGAAGATCATGATACTCCTAAGAGGATTTATCAGGATTAAAACATATAACCTACCTCCCATTCAAATAAAGGTTCTCGTTTTTATTTTAAAAAACAATAACACTTTTAAATGACAACTTAATCATCAAATATTAAAAATAATAAATCTATAACATCACATTTATCATCAATGACCTCATTATATTATGTACTCATCAAGATAGATGTAGTGACATTCTTTGTAAAAAAAAAGGATTACATGTTTTTCTTCTTCTCTAAATAGGACTAAACAATGCATTTCTACTCCTAATTTTATTATTCAATTAATCATTATAACTAATTGCCCCCTAGTTCCTTGCATAATCAATCAGTCCGTTAGTGACGGCGGATTTCGACGGCGGCAACAAATTATGCTAACCGAAATTCTGACACATCGACGATGACAATCTAAAAAAATCTGATGACTGGCGGTGGCATGCGGCCCGACGACCTGGGAGCACCAGTGCTCCAACCCAATGAGACTATTTTTGTTTCATCAAAAATAAAATCTTACTTATGTCATTTTAAATTTGTAGGCCTTATTTTTGAAAAATGATGTTATTTTGATCTTATTTGGATAAATCTTCCTGCTCCTAATCCTGATCGAAAAATGTGTTATGTTTTACTTTTATTTAAGGATTTCTGTTTATTTTATATGAAAAATCTCAAATAATGTAATGCCACCATTGATAGTGAGGCTAGGAAGAACATCTCTAATACAAAAATGTGAAATGGTGCAAATGTCCCATGAGAGAGGCATACAAAAATAAATACTATTTTAACATATTTCTCTATTTTTAATCAAAAGTAACTAAAATATACTCTGTAGAGGACTTAGAAAGAAAGATAAGTTTTATTGATTGCAAAAATTGTTAAATAAGTCTCTATACCATATCAAAAAAGTAAGTTGTATCCCATCTTGTGAAAACACCCAATTAAACCCTTAAACTTCTAATAATTGTTAAATTGAGCATTTTAGAAGGTAAAGAACCAGTATTAACCGCACAAGTGGCGACCACGTGGCGGTTATCTTTTCTTCTTCCTTTTTTTTTCTGATTCCCCATCTTCCCATACTGGCAGACATAACCATCGTTCACTAACCAATTGTATAAAGAACATAATATCAAGGTCATGAAGGAACCAATATCAAGCTTTTCCCATATGCCTCTAATTTTATCTGTGCAAGGGGCAATCTTCTAATATTCCATCAAAATACTTCCTCCGGTTCTTATTTAAGTTCTTAGTTTGACTTCACACATATTAAGAAAATGAATTTGACTTTACTGTGGAGTGCACTGTTTGGCACTGTTTGGACACTGTTTGGCACTGTTTTGCACTGTTTTGTTTCCTAAAATGGAAGTGTGAACTTAAATAAGGGACATCCCAAAAAGGAAAGTGGGAACTTTAATAAGAACCGGAGGGAGTATATTTTTACGACAAATCATTTTTTTAATAATGCAAACACTCCCTAAATGGTTATACTCCCTCCGGTTCTTATTAAAGTTCCCACTTTCCTTTTTGGGATGTCCCTTATTTAAGTTCACACTTCCATTTTAGGAAACAAAACAGTGCAAAACAGTGCCAAACAGTATCCAAACAGTGCCAAACAGTGCACTCCACAGTAAAGTCAAATTCATTTTCTTAATATGTGTAAAGTAAAACTAAGAACTTAAATAAGAACCGGAGGAAGTAGTTCAGTAGTGATGGTCAGAGGTCGGTGAGATGCTTCAAGCAATGATAGGTAAGTCAATCTGGCCAGAGGGTCCACAAATAGTTCCTCATCAAACGTGCACCAGGGAGAGATGAGTGTCTAAGACATCAGATATGTTTAGGAAAAAAAACTATGGGGTTAAAATTTAAACAAATAAAGAGAAACAAGGTTAATCACACATTTATTAACTATTATGTTCATTAAAACTTAATAAAGTCTGACTGACACGAAAAATAATAAAATAAAATTTATATAATTGGAATTTGTGCAAACAAGAGAAAAATAAAGAAGCCACAAATCAATTGATTAAAGCGAAAAGTGACAAAAATTTGGACAATCAATAAAAAATGACAAGTATAAATGGAAGGAATATTTTAAAGATTGGTGAAAATTTACGGGACAATACTCATTTAGTTTTGGGGATTTTTCAAAAATATTACTAAAATAAAACTTATTTACACAAATATGATTATTAGTTACTACAATGTAGGGATGGACTAGGACAACCTGACCCGACTCGGGCCCGACCCGTTATTGTTTAGGTTAAGTCAGGCCCAGAGGGGCAAACCGCAAACCGATAGTTATAAGGGACGGGCTTCAGGCTCGATTTTTTGGGACCGGCTGGTCCGAACCTAACTGCACTATTTTTAAAAAAAATAATTAAATGGGTGGTACCAACCTGACCCTGACCTAGTACTATTTGGGCCCGGACCTGTCCCAAAGCATACCCGGGCTGGTACCTGGCTTGAATTCCTTAATTCCAAGCCCGACCCCGGGTCCGAGCTCGACCCGTCCCAATCCATCCCTACTATAATGTAGTGTCATAGTAACTTAAGTTTAAAATTACCATAAGTTACTATGATTTCATTAGTACTCTAGTCAATTGAGTAAAGAGACTTTATTTTAATCATAAATATGTAATTATTTCTTTAGTTTATTGGACATCTGATCATAATTCATATGTAAGTTCAAATTATCCATGCGATGCATCCCCTTTTATGTCGTTGGAATTGGAATGCTAAAATGCTAAATAAATTATACAAGTCCAGTACAACTAAATTCTAAACAATTGTCCTCATTTACAATCAATTCTGCTGATTTTATTTGAAGAAGTGTCCTTTAGATGTGATTATATATAAGTATAGCATACATGCATATATATTCCCTCCTACTTTGGAAGAATTGATTGTTTTCACTATTCACCTACAGGAGGCACAATTTCGAAAGTTCACCTCAAACTTCCAAAAAATGGCCATATAACCAAACTGATACCTGTATCGTTTACCACCAAGCTCCAATGCATTTGAAGATCAGAACCATCGGTCCCGTCCTAATCCTCGTGAGAATTTTGAGGGTGAAAAATGGTCATGTCAAAAGTTGGACTACAAATACTATTCAACACAAGCACAACCACAACCACAACCACAAAAGGTTTCTTTCTATAGTGTTTGCAGAAAAATTACGGGTGTAGAAATACAATCACAATATTGATGTGATCCGAACAGACTGATCTACTGATCCCGTTAATAACAAAGGCAGTGTTGGATGCCAATCTACGGTTGTTATAGACCCACTGTGAGGTAGAGTTGTCATACCACCCATGCGACCACGAACCTGATAACAAGCAATTAATGCTTGTCTTTATCGAAGATTGACTACAATCAAGTGACGCTCAAGGATTATAGAGATCATACCTTATAAATAGGCGCTCTTAGCGAATTAGATGAGAGCAGAAGTTGATTCCCATTAGCGTCTAAAGCCATTTCTTGCTTATATATGATATCACTTTGAATGTTGCAGAACCTAAGGTTTCACAAGGAGCTCCAGTTATTACTTATCATTGAACTGCAAGAATTAAGTAATCCCTGCAAAGGGTCCATTTGGAAGAAAAGAAAAGATGGGGGGGGGGGGGGGGCAAAGCATTCAATGAAACACAATTAGTTAATTTACCAATGGTACTGTGCAAACTCATTTCATTTAATTATTGCCATCATATGCAGACTAGTCACTCTAAAGTCTAAATATACTTATAAAAACATCAACCAGATTTTATTTTCTTTCGCATTTCGCACAGTAAAACCACACATACGAAAAACATTTTTCTTTCTTTTTCCCAGTTTTTTCTGGGATACAAGCATATACCAAGGATTCAAAAATTTGAAAAAATCCAATACCTGCTGCAATTACTAGACCATAGTACTTCACCTTGGTTCTGCAAACTCCACTCAAATATCTGTGACACAAATTACCAGAGTCAGATTGTTGTCAGTTTAGCGGCTTTACTGCTATTGTGAACATTTATAAGAAATAAACTGATGACTAGAATCAGAAATGGACAGTCTTCTTGCCTTTCCATCTGCTCCCAGAGTGAAGATGCTTGTCTCATCAGACCCAAATAAAACAGAGCTAATTGGAAAATCATGTGCTGGCCATCCAGTGATTTGCTGACCAGCAGACATATCTTTCAATTGTTAAAGTTTACATTGGTCATGCGGAAAGATAATCAATGCACACAGTAACATGATTGTGTTTTTACTAATATCTAGTAGGATACCAAACATATGTATCATTCCATCTGTGGCAGCCGCTGCTAAGAGCTTCCCATTGTGATTGAAGCATAGTGATGTAATTGCAGGTGGATCTTCACCAAGAGGAAGAACTGTCTAAAGTTGTGAGGAAGTAAGGCTTGACAACTGTCATCCGTAAAGCAAAAAAAATGAAGAAAGATTTATTCACCAGCAATCAAATTTCTGAGGCAAGGCATAAACGTACCATGGCTTTCCATGTCCTCATGTTCCAAACTGTTAATGAAGCATGCCCCAACTTATCGAAGTACATAGAACCAGGCCTGGAAAACAGCATTTTCTTAGCTTTCACCTTTTCCAAATAGAAAAAAATCATACAGGAGTACAAGCATATTTTCATAAACAATCCAGACACCCAGTAACAAAATATTGAATCAACTGGACATTCAACTCAGGGAATTCAGAGGGGGTATGGTATTTTATGGAATTTGCCTATTCTGACATTTGGTTTGTTCTCATCTCCGTATAATGAACCAATTTTCTGAAAGCATTAAATGGAGCCGGCTTCAAAACATATAAAAGTTCAAATTATGCAAAGATGTCTCTATATATTCCATATCCACTTTTTACTTTTATACAAACAATAGAATTTATAAAAAATAAGAGTTGTCAGTACAAGAGATTTGTCTACAAGATGTAGAGTCAAGACCATACTACCAAACATAAGAAAGAAGAAAACGCAAATATACAAAGAAATCCAAAAAATGGCAAAAACAATATCTCATATCTTCTCTAAATTACTATAATTCACTCTCTATTCCATTTCTGAAGATTATTTTTCAATTTATTCATTCACATTTTCATTCCATGATATTGGTCAAAAACATTTTAGAGGTTTTTATGATTGTCTTGTGAGTTTTATCACATTGGGGCTGACGTTTAGTACATTAACAATTATTCGTATTTCATGACTCAATGGGATGAATTGTTTGGCTCAAGAAGTTACACATTTTTTTCCATCATTTGCAATGGATCCAAAGACTCACTATTTTTTGGCTTGGGAATATGATGGAATAAAACAAAATGGCTCTCTAAACTGTCTGCGCTTCTCTGTTATGAAGCAACAGTTAGTTTATGCAATTTTCGACGCGGTTTTACTATGGATCATCCAGAAACTGTCTCTCTTTGCTTTAGTGCAAGGGTAAGACTGCGTACATCCGACCCCCCTACCCCACCGAAGGTGGGAGCCTTTGCGGCACTGGGGTAATGATGATGAAGAAGAAGAAGAAGTTACCCATTTTAGCACACATGCATACATCACGGTAATAAGGGGGGTGAAAGTCCTTCATGTTAGAAAAACTAAGATAAATACATAATCTTTAGGTGGCTTTGAGGTAATTTTTTCACATAAATCCAATCCCTATGATATTCTCAAGTGATTTATGTTTCGTGTCTAATTTCTCTATTCAACAGAAAATTAATATATATTAACTTTCAGTCAATTTTGCTCTAGTTTTAACAACTACAACTAAAACTACTCGTCTCAGCAGCTTGACAGTAGTCTGCCAAAAACAAACAGGGAGAGTAAGTGTATACATGATTTACCTTGTGGATGCTGCAGCAGAAACAAAAATGGGCTCCACGGGGCTGCATTTTAGGTCTAGCACACTGAATTATAGCAAAATAATAACCAACATCATATAAGAAAGTTAAAGAGTCACCAAAAAGTTGAACATTAATTGTGGCATGTTAGAGAGTGGAAAGACAATGAAAAAGATCACTAAATGCAGGGAATTATTTTAAAACCTAGTGAATTCTTTGGTGCATTTAAGATCGCACACAACACGTTTTGCATCAACATTCCATGCTTTGATGCCTCCATCAGCTGTGCCTATCAGAAGCTTATTTTATGAAATATATTACATAAAAAAGTATTAGCATTCAAATTCCAACACAGCCTATAATGAAAGACAGAAAACACTATCCACTCTAATTTGTACCAGACGATCAGATTTGGAATCCCACTCAAGAGAAATGACTTCTGTCCCACAATAGATAGTGGCATTTCTTGATGTTGATGCTGATGATTCATAAGTCCATATCCTTCACCAAAATGAAAGGTATGACCAATTAAATTATGGTAACACGATGACTAAAAAGTATAAGGTATGCACAGAAGCACATGTCAGGTTCATATCGAAGGTATGCTAAAATGCATCGGATAACAGTTGAGAGCTCAAACCTAACTGTCCCATCCACAGAAGCACTAGCGATATTGTCCCCAGATGCAGAGAAGCGGCATTGAGTGATTGGACTTGTGTGACCAAGGAATGTCTCCTATTATATCAGATTTCAGAAACATCATTTTCCCATCTTGATTTATAATGTAAACTTTACAACTAAGAGGTAGTCAAGATAAAACAGAAAATCTAAACCAGTTCAAAATGAAAAGCCGAATAATAAAAGATCAAATGGCTCCAATTTCTGAGAAGCGAGCACAGAAACTAGAAGAGTACTGAATCTAAGTAGCACGGAACCGGGAAACGGGAAACGAGAAACAGGAAACGGGAAACGTCGAAAACGCCATTTTTCAAAAATACAGGAAACGAAACATGGGGGAAACGCGTAAATATAAAATTATAGGGGTTATTTTATAAATATTATATACGTATGCGTGTATATATACACATACAAACATGCCACTAGAAAATAAAAAAATCTATATTGTAGAACGACATGCACAATTAAAGATGATTTACTAATTTAACAAATAAACAATAAGCACAGTAATAACTAAACAATGCCCATAAATAAATAATATCATTTCATTTTCATTTTCATTTACCCCAGTGCCGCAAAGGCTCCCACCTATGGTGGGGTAAGGGGGGTCGGATGTACGCAATCTTACCCTTGTACTAAAGCACAGAGAGACTGTTTCCGGATGACTCATAGTGAAAATCCCATCCAAAATTGCATGGACTGACTGCTGCTTCATAACAAAGAAGCGCAGACAGTTTAGTGAGCCATTTTGCTTTATTCCATCATAATCTCAAGCCAAAAAATAATGAATCTTTGGCTCCATTGCAAATGATGGAAAGCCATAAATAAATAATAGTGCTGCTTTAATTCACCTAAATAATACGGAGTAAAGTAAAACTACCCAGTATAATCATAACAAAATGGCTCCTTAGTAGTGGAACACATATCATTCATCATCATCACTTCTACGCCCACTTATACACTATCAGACATCCACAATTAAATATAGGGATATGAGAAGTGAGAAGCGAGAAGTAAGAGGCGGGGAAGAGAAAAGGTAAAGCGACCGGTTTGCAGAAGAAGGGGAACGATTTAAGAATCTACCATAAATTGCTGAAGATGGCGACCTGCTCACCCAGATGCAGAGATGCTTTGAAGCCGACGAAGTGCCGATCAAGACTAGGGTTGAACCGTTGAAGACGAGAGGTTTAATCAATTAATCCTACTAAACTCTGAGATTTTATTTGGTTGGGATTCCAGATCGTGTGATGCGAATTTAAAAAGGCCCCAAACTGAATTTCTCAGATTCTGTTTTTGGGGGGAAACGCGTTTCCCCTGAAATTAAAAAACGGCCCCGACACACGTATTAGACATTTCTCACGTTCGGAAACGTGCATACGTTTCCGGTACGGGGGAACTCACCCCTCCCGACGTTTCCGTGCGTTATAGAATTTAATCCATCCCGAAGAGCTCCGTAGAATATCAACACACTCCTGATTGAAGCGGCTGCCACATAGGGAAATAGATTGACACCAAAATTGATGGATAAGGTCATTGGAAACATGAGATTTTCCGGGAAGGGTTGGTGTGGAGTGTGGACATCGGATGACCGGAAAAAGAGGAATTTCCGAAAAACCATTCACAAACAGCGGCCTCAGCGGCACATGTGCTAGGTGATTGTGGTGGATCTTCTGTCGGTAAGTAAAAATGAAGAGGTGAGCATGGGTGTAGGTTAAGCTTTGACATATCACTACTGTAGAAACTCAGAGAAGACACACATCTACTACCTCCTCACACAGGAGAAGATGAACAGTAATGGTGAACAAAGAGTAAGGGTTTTTAATTAATGTAGGCACTGATACCATGGAATGGAAAGATGTATTGTTTTTCTTATATTATGAAAAACTATACAAAGAGGTATAAAATTATATGTAACAACACATTCAAAACATCATTTTGCCACAGAAGCAAATAACCTGATAGTCTACTCTCACTTCCGGGAATTCTTCCTCTCTCTGCATTTCACCACGAGTATCTGTGAAGAAGCTTTTGGTTTGTTAAGCAGCTTAAACATAACAAGAAGAAAAGTTTGAAGGAAGATTTAAGATTGATTTAGTAGATTTGACTGTTCAATTTACAGTTTAGAATATGACCGATTCATAGCAGGCATATCTACTTTTGAGGTTAATATAAATTTTGAAGCCTGAGAAAATAAAGATATGTTTACCATCAATATTGACAACACTATCTTCACCTTGAACATTTTGGAACAAACCACTTTTCTCACTCTTACTCACACAAGACTTTAAGTCCTGAGAACCAGCAGCGCTTCTATCATCAATGTATTGAAAAGAATCTCTCTTGCCACTGTTATAAGTTGAGGGTCACAAGCATCAGAAACTCAGGTGAAGAAGAAACAGTTTGCTCATGACGACCTGCTTCGGTATTCAATGAGCTATTCATTCAAAGGGTTGGTAATTTTTTAGTGAAGGATGTGTTACTGACAATGAAAAGGAAAAAAAGGTCAGTGGTCTTCAGATTCAACAAGAAAATGACCTAGGATCTCTGACCTCCTAGCTTGACATAGCTGGACCTCTTTCTCCTCTAACCAGGCCTGAAGTTGTGAAACTTTGAGATTGAGTTGCTTAATGTCTCCCTTGAGACGATTCACAGTGTTATGCTCAGAACTGATCTTCAGTAATGCAGGGATGCGTAACTTGACTAAGGAGAAATTCAAATAGAAACACTGAGGGAACTGATAAAAAGTATTCTGAATCAAGTAAATATTTTCATCTATTGTTTTTCAGCAGACTTACTGTTAATAAGCTAATGTTAAGATTAATATCAGTCATAGCCTTATTGTCCTTAACTATAAGCACTTTGTATACTGCCTAATAATGGAAATAAAAATCTATGCCGAAGGATATGAGTATCGTGAAGCATCTTGCTAAGAAAATTCCTGACAGAAAGCTGTAAGGTATTGATCCACTCTTTAGAGAAGTACAAACGAAATTCAGGATCCAAATGAGGACTCTTGTGATATGGAATCGCTGCAAAAAAATGAAAATTTAAAAGATTAAGGGCAGGGATAAATTACCAAAGTTACAACTCACAACAAAAAACATGACAAATGGAACCAACCAAACCATAAGGCCCAATCTTGGTGTTTTTGCACCAACACACTGCCATGGGTATCAAAAAATTCAATCACTTTCTCCCTCTTTCCTGATTGCAACGCGTGGATGATATAGTAACGCATAATCGAGACTTCCAATTTAGATAAGCTAGACATAAGTTCAATCTCGTATGAACCAAAGCATTCCTTGAAAAAGTGAAGCAGATTAACCAAGTTCGCAGCTTGAAATTTTGGAATGTAAACGGTGAAAATCAAGTCCAATAACCTATCAACTTGGAACCCCTTCCCAATATCGCTGTCCAGTTCTTTCTCAAAAGCCTGCAGAGTGTTTGTAAACCCTCTGAATACAAAAAACTCTCTGATTAGCTCCTCCGCATACTGCATATTCTCCATCTTTGCCTTAAAACCCGACAAACAACTAGTCCTGTAAAGATCTCAAAGTTCTGCTGCGCTTATTCCCAGGTAGGATTTCTAACACACATCATCAATAATTTAAGACTGTCACTCCAATAGCTCATTGAACATCTTTCCTGTAGGATTTTCTAACAAAAAGATCTGTAAACACAGGCAACTCTAACACTTGGTTTCCTGCAAGAGGCATGCGGATTGTATGAATTAGAGAAGAGTTGCTATGATTTTCTACTTATCCCATAAACTAGCTGAAATATCAGTATATATACACACGCAAGACAGTTTTACAGCAAACAGCAGATATCAGTTCCATCGCATCAGGAATTTCAGGGATTGGGGATACTTAAAACCGCGATATAAATCATACGGAGAAATAAAAAGAAAACAAAATTGGCATGAAGGCATTGAGCATACCTTATTAAGCAAATTTGAGCTTCCCCGGTCTACGCTTCAGACTCAAGGAAAAATGGAATACGTGATTTACAAAGGAATAATTTAAGCATCTAGCAAAATATTTTTTGTGGAAACTTATTACGGTTGCTTTTATTTCATTTTATTTTGATTTGAAACGATTATTAATAGAGGAATTGACAGTATTTTTTAAACTTGACAGTAATTACTCTTATTTTAGGAATAAAAATATGACAGTCCTATTTTGGAATTTTTAAACTTTTTTACTCTTATTTCGGGAATGTTCCCTTATTAATAATTTCTTTGTTGAGTCAAATCAACAATTATTAATAATTATTAACAATTTTATTAATAATTATGTCAAATTAAAATAAAATGAATCAAAAGGTAAAATTTGTATTTGAGATGTGCGTATAATATAATAAAATGTTGTGCACTACATATTTCTTCCAAAAAATGAAATATGACACATATTTTGAAACAACTCAAAGAAAAAATTAAAGCATTTAAAACAGGGTGGAGTGAGTACTACTTCAATGAGCAGAAACAAATATTGGAGTATTTAGTAAAAGCGCAGAAGTACTTCCGGATGCTCCAAATTACTCCTAGAAGCAGTTTTTTAGAAGCTGATGAAGACCAGCTTCTGAAAAACTGATTCTGCTTCAACTTTTTTAAAAAAAGTAGAAGCAAAATCAGTTCCAAACACCCCTTTATTAACTTTTAGTACATGTAGTTATTTAAATTTTGTATTGCAATTTTATATTGCAGTGACTATAAAACAATAACTTTAGTTATTCTTTTATTAAAAAAATTGATACTCTCCATCCTCTAAAATTTGTCCATTTTAATCGGTGCGAGAAATATTAAAGTAAAAAATATGTGGTTGAGATTTTGTGTAGAGAAAAGATAAATAAATGAAATTACAAATTACCCCCTCTGTCCAGAAATAACTATCTCACTTTCCTTTTCGGTCCATTCCAAAATAATTGTTTTATTTTCTCTTTTGGCAATTATGTGTGACTCATATCCATTCATCGTTTTCTACTCAAATCTCAACCATAACTTTACCTTTTCAATCACTTTTATAAAACTTGTGCCAAAGCAAACAAGGCATTTATTTTGGGACGAAGCGAGTATGTGATTAAAAATGAAAATGTCAAATGTTTTGGATCAACTATAAATGACTCAGGGGTGATATTTTTGGAAAAAATTTACTTTTACTTATAAAGAACAAAAAGACTAAAAAATATAGATCAAAAAGACTAAAGAGGGGCACTCTTCCTATTTGAGGAAGGTATAAGGAAAAATGAACAAGGAGCTATACGAAAAAATAGGTTCCGAAGAAATTAAAGATAAATGGAGATCTCATTTTGCTACATTATTAAATTGAAATATAGAGTAAGATACATGTGATCTTACTATACCACATGGTATGGTGATTGGATATTTCGTGAGAATGATAAAAAAGAAATAAGAAAGAAATGTGTGCATATGGCATATTGATCGAGAGGTGGAGAAATGTGGGAAAGAAACCATCGAGTGGCTAACAACTTTCAAGAACCGGACTTGAAAGAAAGAATAAAATGTGAACGAGTTGGTGGAAAAGTACTGTTATCTCCTTATTTTAGAATAAAAGTGAAGTACAAGAATGTGTAGACTGTCAAGCTAGAGACTAAACTTATAAGACATTCCATGAATTTTTAGCAGCTAGTGATTGAGTAAAGATTACAAAAAATGTGAAAATGTAGGAGAATAAATTCAATTTTATGTCAAGACCCTCAACAATCATGACTATTCACCTTCTTATGTAACTTATGGAGAAATGTGAAGATATGAATGATGCCGGTGCATGTGAAGATATGAATGATGATCGACGTACGTTGTGAATTGACTTCAAAATTTTGTATAATACTATAATTTGATATCTAATATGCATTAGTTATTAGTAAAGGTATATCGTCTAAGTATATCAACATCGTTACAGTTTATAAAAGTGTATGAGAATGGTTCTACGAATATTCATAATAGTGTAGGGAGGAGAGAAGAAGAATTTATCGTCAACAGTGGTGAGCCAAGAGTCAATTTTGAGTCATTTTCTTCTTCCATTGCCATGCTTATGTGTGATATTTGAAAAAACAATATTGTGTGGATCGATGAGACGAGATCAAGTGTTAATGTAAAGTTGGAATTGCGGCGATAAACCATGTATTGCAAGGGTTTCAAACTAATTCAAAACAATACCAATAAATGGAATGCATGATGGTAGAAATAATGGTACTGGTGAGATTGCATTGGATGATACACAAACCCGGTAAGTGATGTGTTTCATAACAAGGGCTCTATAATTCACAAGGTTGCATTTGAGTGTTTCACGACTTCAATGTGATCGAGGTATGTCAACTAAACTGATGGGTAAGCTTTATCGAATTACATTTACGTTTACATTATTGTATGGTATGAGATCGAGGTGTAGCATTGTCATGTTTAAAAGTTGGTGCGACTGAAATGTGTATGTTGTGTTGGATATATGAACAAACTAGAAAAGACTACATGAGGAATGAGATAATTAGACGAAAAGTGAGAGTAACACCTATTGATAGTAAGGTGTGAGTCTTGATTGCAATATTTTGATCATGTGTGTAGACGATCAAGCCATGCACTAGTTAGAAGCTGTTCTCTTCGTCTTAATCTTATTACTTATTCCTTATTCTTATTTTATTCAGATCATATCATATCAGATCGTAAAAATTCAGACCAGATCAGAAAGATTCAGATCAGATCAGATCAGATCAGAAACATTCAGATCAGATCAGAAACATTCAGATCAGATCAGAAGCATTCAGATCAGATCAGAAGCATTCAGATCAGATCAGATTAGTTCAGAAATATTCATACCAAATTGGAAGCATTATATTATTATCTATTATATATATTACTATTACTATTATTACTATTATTATTGTTATTTTTTATAATAATAGTAATAATTATTATTATTAATATAATTACTATTATTATTACTATTATATAATATTATATATTACTGTTATATTTTACGGAGTAATTTTTAGTATTGATTTTTTAATAAATGCTAAAATTGAGTACTCTGTACCAATCCATCTAATCTAAAAATATAATATTGTCACCATTCGAAAGATGTTTCACTGTACTGAAGTCCCGATGGTGGATACTACATAGGATGCCGTTAATGGAAATTCAATGTGAACTTACGATTATGGTATCAACTTTCGCACTGCATAACTTTATCCGTCTTTACGAGTTGGATATTTCAATTTCAAGTGCAATCACCATTGAACCAAGTACTGACACTAGCATGTTTAATCCAGAAGGCAAACAAGAAATGGAAAAAGTACAGGCACAAATAGCTGCTGAAATTTGGCGCTCAATTCGACATTAAATGAATATATGGCACTAAGTACATTTATATTTATTGTTTTTTGCAATTGAGTTGTAAGAACAAACTCATGTGTTTGTCATTTCTACGTTACTCTCATTATGTGCAAGAATTTTATATTGCTTCGTTTATTGTCAAATATTTATATTATTATTAAAAAGGTTATTAATATCACTACCACTACTACCTATTATTATTATTATTACGGAGTATTATTTTTATTATATTTATTAAATAATAATAATAGTTATTATTACTATTATAATTATTATTGATATTATTATTGTTGTTGTTATTGTTATTGTTAATATTCTTATTATTATATACCAATTTAGAAAGTTAAGATCATATCAGAAGGATTCATATCAGATCAGAAACATTCAGATCAGACCAGACAGATTCAGATCAGATCAGAAACATTCAGATCAGATCAGACATATTCAGATTAGATCAGGTCAGATCAGAAAGATTCAGATCAGATCAGATCAGAAAGATTCAGATCAGATCAGATCAGAAAAATTTAGATCAGATCAGATCAGAACTGTTGGGTGTGTTTCGGAAAATAAAGAAAATTAATTAAAATAAATTAATTAAATAAAATGACTAGAGAAAAACAAGAAAGGAGATGAAACAGAATTAGTCAAAGCTCGTGCTACGCACAATTTCCTTAAAACGTATTTGTTGCATCCCATGGTGCTAGGAGCGTTGCAACAATCGTTTCCCAGGATACGATGACTACGAACTAATGTTTGAGCACACAAACAAGAGTTCCAGCGAACGAGAACCAAGTAAGAACACATGAGGAATTTTGAGAGTAGTTGTAGGTGTTTTTAGCTCAAGAATACGTGAGGAATGTATTGTGCGTTGTGTCAAACCCCGTGTTTGTTGCAAAGCACCTGCCAGCTATTTATAGGAGGATTTGTTGTGTGTTAAAGGACCTGAACGTTGGACATCAATGACCAGTCCGTAGGGCATTGAATCGTCCATAAACTGTCCATTTAACGCAGCATTAAAAGAGAAGAATGTTGGGCATTAATTGTTGTAACGGAAGAAATGCGCGACAGAAGACCCCAACAGAATACCCCTTGGAGGGTTTTACTCTTATTAGGAAGTTTTTCCCATAATAGTGTCAAACAAAAAAATATTTCTCAAATTAGCGTTAGGTTAAAAGTATTTCTCAAAATAGTGTCCAAATAAATTTGGGCAAATTATACCGTGCAATCGGCGCACCATGAGGATGGTGCGCCCGGTTACAAAACGACGCAGCTTGCCCCCCCCCTTTTTTTTGCTTTTGTTGTTAAAAAATGATAATAACTTTTTTATTATTGATCCGATTTTTATAAAATTTATATCAACATTTTTTATTTTTCATGATCTTTCAAATGAGACCAATATTACTTATGTAATTTTAAGAAATTATCGAACTATTATATTAATGAGTATTGGATTATAAGGAAAATCGATTCTGTTTGGGAGATGATAGGTTTGTGAAATAGAAGATCAAATCTGTTTGGGAGTGGATCAGTGGCCTCAGTTACATTTGATAATACATTGAGTTACAT